GTACATACTATGTATGCGTGTTTTCAGCGGAAAATGTACCGCGAAATAAAAATTGAATAAATTTAATATCTAATTAATTATTATTTTTAGGTGTTCTGAACACTTTCGTACAAAGTTCAAGCTTTTTTAAAAATTTAAAAAAATTAACCGTAATTTTTAGCCACTTGAAACTTGTACTTTATTATACTAGAATTCAATGGGCTGCGAAACTGCATACTCAGAATCTAATTAAAAACTAGAAATTTTTACGAAAATTCCTAGTGTCACTCGATTGGTAAGTATGTACAGATTTGTGCATTTTTATATTGGGCTACTGGTACAAAAACCAAGGGATTTTTTTTTTGTAGTCAAAAGCTTGGTACAATACAGCAATCCTGTATTGAAAATTTTCAACAAAGTATTTTTCGTGATTGGTGTAAAGAAAAATATTTGAGTATTCACACAATTGGGATATATGTACATTAAGGAAGTAGAAAACAGTATACAATTACTATTCAAACTCACTTTCCAACTTATTTTCAATTATATCCTTATCCATATTTTGCTCTAAACCATAGTACGTAGGATTTTGCATCGACCGCACATAAAAATACGTTGAACGCATCCAATTCATGGCTACCTCAAGATTGTTGATGGTATCCAAAGCAATTTCGGAGTTTAGGTGCTCTGCCAAGTGTTTATGTAAATGTGATTCAATTGGCATTTTGCCATTCATTAGAGTTTCATATTTGTGCTGAAAGAATGAAAAAAATTCAGAAATGTTAGTACATACTATGTATGCGTGTTTTCAGCGGAAAATGTACCGCGAAATAAAAATTGAATAAATTGAATATCTAATTAATTATTATTTTTAGGTGTTCTGAACACTTTCGTACAAAGTTCAAGCTTTTTTAAAAATTAAAAAAAATTAACCGTAATTTTTAGCCACTTGAAACTTGTACTTTATTATACTAGAATTCAATGGGCTGCGAAACTGCATACTCAGAATTTAATTAAAAACTAGAAATTTTTACGAAAATTCCTAGTGTCACTCGATTGGTAAGTATGTACAGATTTGTGCATTTTTATATTGGGCTACTGGTACAAAAACCAAGGGATTTTTTTTTTGTAGTCAAAAGCTTGGTACAATACAGCAATCCTGTATTGAAAATTTTCAACAAAGTATTTTTCGTGATTGGTGTAAAGAAAAATATTTGAGTATTCACACAATTGGGATATCTACGATTTGTATCAAATTTCGGCAAATTTCCAATCGTGTGACACTGCCTTTAAACTTGTATCAATACAGATGTTGGTAAAGAATGAACTATAATAAACTAACCAAAATTAAATAACAACAAAAATAATATTTTAAAGCTTGTCAAAATTTGGTGTGGCTAATAATTTTTTCGACTACTGTACATAAGTTGACTATGATTAGTCGGCCGTGCTATCATAGTAGCACAATGCCACTAATATTTGACTTACAAACAAAATACGGGCAGAAATTTCAAAATTTCAACCCTGTTTGTGTGAAAAATTTTCATTTTTATCAATCTATGTTGAAATAAAAGTGAAAATAAAAAAATATTTTTTATGCAAATTGAATGAACAAATTGGTTTACGTTGGATTCTGCATAATTTGATAATTGCTAAAAAAAAAAATTATAGTGAATAAAATATGCGTTTGAGCTGGGAACTAAACAGAAGTCGACTGTGTGGGCTATTCAAATCGAACCTAGCCCAACAAAAGTACTTCACTCTACAGGCACTTAAAAAGAAAAAAGTAAAACTGGTTGCTTGGAAACGTTATTTATCCATTGAGAAGAATGGAACAGTTAATTTTAAGGGGCTGGTTCCTCAAAAGTATTCGAACAAATACATAAGAAAAAAACTCAAAGCTCTTATTTATCGGCTCAAATAATCGCATATTGAACCGGTGAAAATATCGATTTGATGAGTCAACAGCCTTGCATTTCTGATTTTGGGACCAATGACTACTTTTTGTTCCCGGACATAAAAAAAGAATTTAAATGGTTCCCTTGTTATTTTTTTAACGGTTCATTTTGTGTATTGAATATTGACTATACAATATAAACGAATCAATTAATTAATTAATTTAAAAACGATTTTCAACATAATATCCAATTCGTGTTCCTCAACGCATATACTAATTAAAACAGTTAACTACTTCTCTAATTAAATTTAGATATTCACACGACAAACTAAAATTAAGTAATTAAATTAAAAACATTCGATTATTTTGTTTGTGATCACATACTCACTCACTATGTATGTATGTACATTAGACCGTACCATCTTACAAAGAAAAAAAAGTTCGCCATATAGCCCTGAGTGTAAGGTAAGTGAAAAACACAACCGTCTTCAATTCTTATATACAAGTTTAAGAGTACCGTTAAATTCTTCATGATCTAATAATTGTATCCAAGCCGCATCCATATAAGGTGGTAGCAATGGCATATAAGTAAAAGTTCCGTGTACATTTGGTACATCAGGATGTCAAAACGAAAGAAAATGTGAGATAATTTTCGCCATTTCGTTTTGTTGAGATCCTGAAGTTACACCACTTCGTCTTGGATGACATTCTGCTGTACTAGTGTAGAGACAAAAATATCATGCCAGCTGTTTAAGTAACAACACCTTGTATAGATGCGTCTTGATTGGGTCTTAAGGAAATTAGTATGGGCCACTCTTGAGGTGCGATCTTTTCGATAAAAAAAATTATTATGGAAATCGATTAATGTGTGCCAAAGTTATGCAATAAAATACATAAAAAAAATATATGTATGTATATTCCTACGAATTGATAACCTCCTCCTTTTTTTAAAGTCGGTTAAAAACTACCTGTTACCTTATTTGTACACTCTAAAAAATCTGATTAAAAATGCTACTATGAATCGAGTAATTTTTTGTTTATTTTTAAAAATTTTTGGTAAATTTACACGATGTATATGTATTATCTCGTTTACACTTTTTCGTGTGTAAAAATCCTTTTTGTTAGCGGCTTTACATAATTCGACGGGTGAAATAAAACAGCAGATGTGTATTTTGTAGCTTGTACACACTTTCGTAGTAAATTTACGCACACCACAGCAGCTATATTACTTATTCGTGGAATAATCGAGCATGTAATTTTGCGAATAATAAGGTAGGAAATCAGTACCCTACCTTTTAGCTAGGAAATCGACACCATTTTTTTAGAGTGCATGTATGCAGTATTATAATTTTACTTTGGGACTTTAGGCCCAATCCGATCAGCCGAAAACTCTGAACTTATGTAGTAGTTAGGCTCACATTTCAACAAATCCAGAAGTGTTGGCCACCTTAATGAACAATACATTGAAATGTATGTATGTACAAACAAACGTACATACATATAAACCAGTATGTGTATGCTTAACCTGTAATTGTAATTACTAATCGTTAGTACTCGTTTTACGAATTACGAATTACTGAATTTTAACAAGTCACTTTTTTGTTGTTATGCAACTGCAATGTCAAAGAACTTACGACAACAATGTAATATAATAATGTTACGACCATCAAGTGCCACAATCGCAGAAGCTAACATTTTTAAGCCATACTTTATACAGCTAACTGCCGTTGTAATCATTAAATTGTTGCCACAACACCGGCAGCATCCTTACCCTGCCTAGTGACACCACAGCGGTAACGAAGTAATGCCGTCGCTAATGCTAATGATGAGCCCAAACATTCAGTACAAGTATGTATGTAGTTAGGTAAATGCGAGTATTCATCGATGCTTCGGCCGTTCATTACTAGCCAATATTTGCCGCATTAACCGCACTCGCTTTGCCAATGTGAAGATATGGGGTGTTGAGGTGACGCGGCGATGTGTTGCCACAAATGATCTCATGTGCAAGGCATCATCTTGACATTTAAAATGCTCACGATTGCCACCAATTTAAATATCGGTGCAGTGAGGAGTGGTTTTCTACTTATTTAGTAAATATATATTCACGAATGTATACATACATACATACATACATGTATATGTATGTATGTGCATTTAAGCATATGAGGACCCTCTAAGTTGACTTGTTGACTTGTTTGACAAAACGCTACAGCTAAAAGTAATAAGTAATTATTGAAAAACTAACAAAACTGCATGGGGTTGCGGGCACAAATGGTGTCATCATTTTGAAATTAATTATTTATTGCAAACATTTTTGATACAAGCAAATAGATTTTATTGGCAAAGTGGTTTAATTTATTGCGTTTGTAGATATTTCTATTTTACAAAGAAAAATTAACCAAAAATTCAAATATTACTTATTTTTGACAGTCATTTCAGCGTTCTTTATGATGAATGTGATTTCGTACTGTAATTAGCAAATTTTGGCTTTTGATAAGCCAGATAGTTTTGGTATCTAGTGCTCGTCTAGCATCGGATATTCACACAGAAACGCAGGCGGCATTTCCAACTAGTTCATCATTCCCTCTTCTCCGGTAGCCGTCGTCTACGAGTCATAGATGTTGGGGAGCATAATTGTTTCAAAAGGCCAGGGCCTCCCTCTGGATATGCCGGAAACTTATGAGGCGAAATTGGGGTATCAACCTAGGTGGATATATGATGTAATCTCAAAACCAATTCTAACTTAGGCTGCGCTAATCTGGTAGAACAAGGCGGATGTAAAATCTACGCAGTCCAAGCTCAGCAAATGACAACAACTCGCCTACGTGGGCATCACTGATGCGCTGAGCACAATACCCACCGCGGTTCTTGAGGCGGTTCTTGAACGGCTTCCCCTATACATTGTAATCAAGAAAGAGGCTCTTCTGTAAACAGCAAGGCTCATCTTAGGGGACAATGAGGAAGACAAGAAGCTTATGTACGCTTTTACACTTTCAGGGTCATAGCACAAGAGGAAGGGACGCACTTGCGCCTTCTGAGATTTAACTCCGCACATAATTTCGAAGTATTTTCTCCTAACAGAATAAACTGAGGCAACGAATGACCTAAACCCCGAAAGGACAGCCATAGTTGGTATACTGACGACTCCAAGCCTGGCCACGGCGTAAGAGCAGGAGTCTACGGAATACAACCCTGAAGGCTGTTTTTCACCAACAAGGGGCAATATAGCTCTGTCTTTCAGGCCGCAGAGCATGCCATTTAACGATGTCTGCGGTAGTTTGTAGAAAGTGGGGTAACAAACAAACATAGCAGAGCGACGTTCCTCGATCTAAGATCACACGAGATCAGCTCAAAACTGTTGTGGGACTGTTTTTATTGCTTATCACATGCAGAAACCGGGATTAGCTCATTTGGGTACCAGGACATAGTGGAGTCGTGGGCAATGAAATGACAGATATTCTCACCAGAAAAAGGGCTGCACAGGGATTCGTAGGCCCCCAGGTCCCTTTATTGGTCTGCCATGAAGCTCTGTTAGGCGAAACTACTACATCTAGATGAAAAATGAAACGCAACATCACTGGACTAGTATGGAAGATAGCAGACAAGCACCGAAGAGAATCGAAGCATTCCTTCAGCTTGGTAGACACGAAGTAAGAATTGTTACCGGCTTTCTTACTGGTCACTGCAGGGTAATGAAGCACTTGACCAGACTTTGCTTCCAAAGATCAACTTACCTAGAAGCACATGACCTAAATGTCATTCAGCCAAAAGAACGTGCGAGGTTCCTTACAAATATATGCATCGAAGAAGACATGTAGCCAATATAGATTTGTTACAATAGATCGTTCTCGGGCGCG